AAATGATTCTATGACTCTATGATTCTAGTGAAAGAAAGCTATGATGAACTGCTACCAAATAAACGTAAACTTCAAAACCCTGCAAATGTTTCATTTGTTAAAAGTTCTTAATGATAAAAAGATGGATTATTTCCCAAAAGCAGCACACAATTTCTATTCTCCACATAAAGGTCACACTTTCTAAGACTTGCTTGAAGGCCCCATTACTCTGGATGCTTCAAAAAAACCCTTTCTGTTTAGAAAAAGAAACAAAAGAAAACCCCAACAGAAATCGCCACAAACAAAAAATCCCCAAACCCACCCCATGAGCAGCTTCACCCTCTCCCTCAGCATCACATGTAACCACTGCCATAGGAACATGCTACAGACTGACAGGGAAGTGTGACGTGGCTCCCCTCGTCCACACTGCAAGGGAATCTACCAGTGCTGATTCACCCCACCTCATTTTCACTTTGTAGTAACATCCACAATTTTAAGTCAAGAGTTGCTGGCATGCTTAAAGTAGTAAAAGTAATTCAGTTAGGAATATATGTAACAAATTTTCCACCAAGACCTCATTCATTCCAGCAAGCACTATCAGAAGAGACAATTATCAAAAGATTTTCAACTACTAGAACCAGCTGGAGTTTTGGGGCTTTTATTTAATCCAGCTGCCAGGCTCTGGGGAAAACAGGCCTCTTGGGCCACTGCTGAGGGACCGGAATGTATTTCAAGTCCTCTGTTTAGAGAAGCCCTACAGGCTTCTGGGTTTGCAACAGAGACGGGGACACTCAGCAGCTCAGCTCACCTCAGAGTTGGAAGGAACATTAGCAATAACCCTACAGCCTAAAGATGCTCCGATGTCAGCTCAGCTTCCCTGATTTGGAGCAGAAAAGTTCCTACGCTGTTTGCTGGTACAAGAGCAACCACATATGGCTGTTTCTAGACTTAAACTGGAAGTACTCTGACTTGTGAAAGGAAAAAACTTTATTTTTATTCTGTGTTTTTCTTAGATAGTTCTTGCCTAACTCCAAAGGCACAGGGAAACGAGCATTTTGGCCATCTTTTCTAAAACAAGGCAACCCCCCACCCCTCCCCGTTAGGAGTCCCTTACTTAAGACAAAAGTTTTAATTTTGTTAAGTTTCTTTTCAGAAATTCTTTTTCTTTTTTTTAAATCAAAGAAATGGATTTAAATAGAAGACATTAAATCAAAGACATTGAGACAGTGTGTGAAGCAGTAAGAACAAACACAAACCATCATCCTTAAAAAGCACTTTGCACAGCTGTACAGATACTTCCATGTTCAAATACCTACCTAGCATGGTGTAGAGGTTACTCAGGATGCGAGCTGGCTGCACTCTGAGTGGATGGATATCAGCAATGCTCTGAACATTGATTCCATGGTCTTGCAAGAGATTCTTAATTTGATTAGATTCTGCCAAAACAGTTACTGCATAACAAAAAACAAAAACACAAGTATGAACCAATGTTCCACTCTTTTTAACTGACTGCGTCTACTGTCACTTCTAAACTAATGCATTTGTTGACTAAAAATGCACAAAGGACTCACATTTTTCTTAACTTATGAGCCAGTGAGATCAAAGGTGATTGCAAGAGGAGATCAGATAGCTTTTGGTTTCTGCTTCTGAACATGTCTTGCCACTCATGTCCACTTTGGACCACAGGGTAATTTAAGTTAGAAGGGTCCTCATGAGGTCTCTATTCCAACCTCCTGCTCAAAGCAGGGTCAGCTCTCAGGTTAGAGCAGGTTCTTTGGGGCTTTATCACATCCCTCTGATTTCTTTCAGTACCACCAGTTTGCACCATTCAGTCTCTCTTAGCAGATAAGGCCTTTTCCCCCATAAAACAAGGGGAAGCACAACATGAAAATCTTTGTTGTTTTGATGCAGCACACCGTAACAACACAGCCGGGTCAATGGGGAACAAGCACTGTGACTTGTGCAGCAATAAGTGTCACAGAGGCCCAAAAATGGCAGAGGTAGGGGGTTAAAAAACAGAAGCCCCCAGATCAGTGGAATTTAAAATTGAGGCCCTGATCTCACCTCTTGTCCTGCTTGAGATTTTATCCATGTAAGGTGGCTTATTGGTTTGGGACTAATAATTCAGTATTCTTCTTTGTGTTATAAATACTTGTCAAATAATGAGAAAATAAGCAAGCACTATTTCTACTAGAAACTAAGTACTTCAGAATTACAAAATGAGACCACCATGAGACACCAACAGGGCATAAACAAGCACCTACCCAGGTCACAGCATCACTGATAATGGCTGGTCCTGACAAACTATCTGGGTTGCTTTTCCAGAGTGGTACAGGACCTTGAAAATCCTTTAAGTCCGTCTCAGCTGGTGTTTGCCCTCTACTTAATTTTCTGGTTTTAGCTGTTCCTGAACTGACTAAAGAAGCCACTCCCTGCAGCAGCCAAAAGACAGCTGTAAGTCTGGCTGCCTCACCTCTGGGTACAGAGATCCTCCCAGCTCATTGTTTTCTGGTGCCTCCAAAAAGGGCCTGCACAAAAAAGTAACTCAGCTGACCTGTACCACATCAGTCCTGCTCTTTTTTGCTAGAATACATCAGGATATTCCTTTTCACTCCAAGATTGTTTGCCACTCTCCAGTCCCTAGCAAGTCTTAAAATTTTAACAAACTTTTTTTAAACAAAAGATTGTTAAAATTGATCTTCCCTCCTGTAAAAAGGCAGCTAGGCAACCAACTCCTTTCTCCTTCTCAAAGTATCATAAAGCACCTATGTCCCATGCAAAAATACACAACATTTTAAAACACGTCTTTCTTCTCTCCTGTACATAGGGACTTCACCATTGCATGATGCAATTCACCCAGAATGTTCAACACAACTCCCTCACCTTGTACCACAACATCAGGTTTAAATCCAGTGGAAAATCGCCTGTTTAAGGGATCAATTTCACCTGCAGCAAGAAATCCCTAGAAAAAATGCAAGAGAGAGATAAAAGAAAGAAAGCAAAATTTAAGTAAAAAATTCTGATGATATCTAGAAGAAATCTTAACCAATTTTCATATTTTATCAGGACAGCATGACTTAGAAGCCTGATGCATCTACCCCATCCACCAAGTAGTACATTCTGCAAATACTGCAATAGCTGCAATATTTTTCGGAATGACCAGAAAATAGTTATGACTGACAATCTGCATGTTCAGATTTCTTACTTTAGAGTTGCAGCAACTGACACAATTTTGCCAGGCCAGTGACATTTTTTGTAGCCGCATAGAGATATTCAGTGGTTCCTTTAACAAGTCCATAGCTACTACAGGACAACTCTGATGGCATCTTATACCACAGAGTAAGGCATAGCCTAGTGGAGCTTGAAACAGTGCAAAATCCTTGCTCCAGGACTGCCAAGTCAGCCTGGGCATATTCCTCTAGCCTAACCACATGTCAAGCCCATCTGACAACTTACTGAGCTTGACAGAAACAGACAATTCCATATCTACATAGAAAAAAAGCTTCACAGCTCCCGAAAGCTCAGTTGCCCCTCCATGGTTCATGTACACGTTTCTACTGGAAAACAAATTGTCCCCTACCTGTCAGCTAAATTGTACTTAAAGCCCAAGCCATCTTAAACCAAAATGAAATATAAACTCATCTATTATACAAGAAACAATCACCTCTGCTAATAGGCAGCTGAGGACATACAATGACTGGCCCCAAAGATGAGGCAATTTTCCCACTGGGACACGATCCACTGAGTGAGGATTTTCATACTCCTCATCCACCTGAAAACAAACACATCAGCAAGAAAAATTACCCAGAAGTCATGAAGAACAAGCAACAACACGGGAGTATTTGAAAAAATTTGGTTTATCATCTACCCTTTCTAACCTGCCATTATTACTGCCATCAACATCTCTTGGTTTTACTTTTAAGGCTGCACATTTTCTGGGACAAGAACTATGCTTCCTTTTCACACACCACCCCATCTCCTGAAGCTGGAGATTGAGGACTCTGCATGCAATTAGAGTTTTAGTGTTAGCACTTCCCCTTTCTTCTCACCATGCCTTTGCTGCCTTGTTCCCACTAGGAAGGCACTTCAGAGTTTCCACCTCAGATCTTCGAGCAAAACATCAGCTGTTGGCACTCCCTGTCCAACTTCAGACCAGACTAAGAAACTCCACACCCTTCGTGAGTGTGGGCTGAGATGTCTGAAGCAGAAGTTGTTGTTGGCAGGGAGGTATATAAAGGCAAAGAGCATGGAAGAGTGCATAAGCTTGTTTGAATTTCTCAGTTACAATGGAAGAACCAGATAAACAGCAACAGCAAAGATGGGAGGAAAAGAAAAAAACCCAAACAAATCAAAAAAAAAAAAAAAAAAAAATCCCAAAACCTGGTCCATCTGAAACCTTTTTCTCTCTCACAAACAAGCTCTGGAAAAGAACAAGCACAACCAGAAGGCTAGGCAGGCAGGACAGTCTATGCTTTATTTCTTCTTTGAGCTTTAGTTGCCAAGTCAGCATCAGCACTTCTTACTTCGCTGTAAGGATTTAACACTTTAGACCTGTTCCAAAATTTCTGCAAGCACACAGATTCCCAAGTAAAAAATCTGACCATTTGGAAGACTAAAGCTTACCATTTCTCAGTGGGAACCAAGAGATGTCTTAGTTTTTAAATAATGTGCAGCAGCCTTGTTTTCATTCCTGGCTTAGATCTATCAGCTAGATGAGAACTATAAGGCCACCACTGGCTCTGAGCCCGCACTCCGCGTACTGAGGCGGATGCTGCATTTTCACAGTACCTTGTCCACAGGGACTGCATACAGCTCTGGCATTAGCACTATCCCGTTCTTCTCCCGAATAAGTATTCCTTCCAGAGCCTCTCTGTACTCCTGTACCTGGAAATATTTTTAAGAGAGTGAGAATACACATTACCACTGGTATTTTCAGCATCCTGTGCTTCCCCACTCTTCTTGAGTCCTCAGGGCACGCATTTTTACTTGTTTTGCTGCCATTGGAACCACTTTTTTCAGCATTAACTGGGGAAGATGAGACACACACCTGAGTGTCTCAGTGACTTACCCAGCTTTGTTAAGCAGTAAGAACCAGGAAGAATTGCCTGGTCTGCCCATGCCCGAGCACACCCTGTCTGCACACCCTAAAGGCAACAAGGTACATGCTCTCCCAGATAATCCAGCCAAGTTCTAGAGACTGCTTGGTGAAGTGGCATTTTATTGACGTGACTGAAGCTTCAGTAAACTTTTTGATTTTCCCCTCATGAAATAATGCCTTTTCTTTCTCCACCAGATGATTTTTACTGCATTCAGGAAAGAACTTATATTTCTAGTGTGAGTAAGCAATTAACTTGAGTTACAACATCTCGTACAGAAAGAAAGCTTTTTGGTCTTAAATTCTCTATTTCTGATGCCATTTTATCTTTTAATGGTTAAGTTTAGCAATCTCCTGTTCCACTGCATAGTAGGCAATTTTAAATCATGTATTTTTTCTTCAAGCTACTGCTCTACAGAAGTCCTGGCATGAATACATTTACTCCTGCCTACTTGTCGCTTTAACACACCAACACTCTCTAGGTGCCACTATAACCCTTGAAGGGCTACAATCAATTCAGCTTCTGTGACCACTGGATGCTTGACACAGTAAATTCATGAAGCAACTTAGTGAATTCATGAAAAAGAAATGGCTCCTCATAATCCAACCCCAAATTTCCCTGAATGGAAAAAAGGACTGAAAGTACTACGAACCTTGTTCTCAGCAGCCAAGCCACAGAGGCTAGGGGAAAAAAGAAGCTGATCTCATCCTGAAGTAATTGGGAAAGGAGCAGCAAAGTTGGTCATAAGACAGAACCAGGCAAATAAACCCCATTCATCTCAGTTTGGCCACATCAGCTAACAGAGCCACTCAGCCTGGTAGGTGTTGACAGGGGTAATGGGGCCCCATTGCGCAGAACACTGTGGCCTCTACCACATCATGATCTCCCCAGGAAGGTGAGATTGGCCAAAGGCTGCTCCCGTCCTGCTGACAGGGTATCCAACTGATACCAAAATAAACATGCAGCAAAGCTACAAAATACTGTGGGCAAATGGTTTTGAATTTCCATTTAAAGTTATTTCTTCTTTCCTCACCTGGATTTTGTCCTCATTAAACACTCCATCAATCAGGAAGTATGTCCAGAATACAGGCCACTCACATTCAATATTCTCAAAGAGCTTGAGCTCAGCAGGATCATAGTGCAGCCTGCTTGGATCCTAAAAATTCAATCATACTCATTTACTCACAGCACTAAATCAGTCACTCATATTCCAATCATAATGGCAGCCAACTTCATACAAGTAATTAAAATGAAGAAACCAATGAAAACACCAGAAATAGTTTCCATGCAGTCTCCTGACCACTTTTTCACATTTGTTAATTGCTCCCTAGACGAATCAACCCTTCCCAGTCTCAGAATCTAGGTGTCACCCAAATAATCTTGACTGCCTCAGTTCAAAGACACTTTAGGATGATTCAGAGGCATGGCTTCTGCTTAGGTACCATAAGCATATCTAAAGGTTCATTTCTTACAAAATTATGAATTAAGTTCTGTCCTTAATAATTAGTTTTCAAACCCTTGGCCTCCTTCAGAGGTGTCATTTCTAGGGTGGATACCTGGATTATGTCCAAATCTACCAAGATGTCTTAACAGTGATATAGAACTCGACTCCTTTATGTACATGAGACAAAGAATTTCTATAAACAGGAGATAAAAATCTTTTCCTAATGCCTACTGGAAATAAACATCAGAAGTACCTCTCTGGGTGTCTTGTAACCATCTCTGAGAAAGCGGCAGCAGCCATAGCGACCCTGCAAAAACAGAAAATTGCACAAAACTTCACACACTGTTCTTCCTCACAGACTAACATCAGCATAAAAGAATGTGCTGAGTTTCAAGTGTCACTTAGGGATTTTCCTCCTCTTCTTCCACACACAGATGAATCAAGTCTGGCAACCCTTTTTTTAATCAGGATTTTTAAGAAAGAGAGATTTGCTTCTCTTTCTGGAAAATAAAAAGAAAGGAAATCCTTACCTGCAATTTGGATATGATTTCACTCTTGGTTACATTAACGAGGCTTATATCCTCCACTGCAAAAGCCGGATAAGAAATAATAGAGAGAAGGCCAGCGTCTATTTCCTTTGATGTGGATGCCCTTGGCAACATGGAGTATAGTATAGACTGAGCAAAACAGGAACAGAAGACAGGGATGCAAAACAACTTCTAAACAATAAGTCAAGTGCAAATGGAACAGAGGACACTATTTGCAAAATGACAGAGAACTCGCTGCAGAATTTTTTTTAACTGAGTTAGAAGGAGAAGGCTTCTCCTACAACACTCACTTTTCATGTGATCGGCTAGAAACAGGGTGAACAGCACAGTCTGAAGCCACCCCTGGTTTAGTTAATATTTAATTTAAAAACAAAAGGTAGGTGCGTTAGGTTTTCCCCTAGCAAAGGAAACAGAAGACTAATTTTTACCTGACAATGTTCCACTTCATCAGGGAGAACATGAATCACTGATTTGTGTCCTCCATGAGCTCCAAAAAGATCTAGTTCATCGATTGCTTCTAAAGCTGCCTGCCAAAAAACCACAAACAACACAAAATCATTAAATGCTTTTTAAGCCAAGTATACATTCTAGCACCTGTGCCTATCCTCTGGAGGAAATTACAAATGACAATTTGCTCCACACACATTTTTTCATCTTTGAAGGGAAGCTTGGCAATATTTTAGAAAAAATATTTCTGTCTTTCCCATAGTAGGATACAGCACCAATGTGCTGGTGATCCTTCTTACAATTTAAAGGCAAAGCAAAACGATAGGGAGCTGGCCTTCCACTGAAATAATATCGAAACATTACTTCATAATAAATGCTTCTCCTTTCCTATATTCCAAAATAACCCCCATTCAGTGGCCTGCAGGGCTGTTCAAAGAGGAATGCTCCTAAGGCACCCTAGAATCAGCAGAGAATCACCACATCGCATACCTCTTGGCCATAATACATTCTTCTAGTGAAGACATTAGCAGCCCAACCACCAACACCATTTAGGCACTCCTTTAACCTAGCCGGCTACAAAACCGGGCTTTGCAGAAGTGGGGTGCCCAGCACCACACAGGGAACGTGGCAGGATTCTTCTCCCAACACACACATGAGTTTACTGGCTTTGCAGGGCCCTTCTCTTTAGCCAAGTGCTGGAACACCAGAAAGCCCCATTGAGGGCTTGATAGCCAAGACCATGGGCAGTCTCAGTGGTGCAGAAAAGGCACCAAGATCCACTCAAAGGCATACGCTCTGCGCTGTACTGCTGCCACAGGTAGCCACACAAAGCAGATATGGGAGACAAATGTTAAGAGGGAGAATCCTGAGGCAGATTAATAATAACACTACCTATCTCACACTTATCAATCTCATATTAGACAGATAAATAATAACCTCCCTCATGGACACTGCCCCATTGCAATGCAACTAAACTGTGGGCAAAACCAGAAGTTTCTCCCTCGTCCAGCCACACAAGACCTTGGTAACTAATAAATCCTGATGAAATGCAGCAGGCCAAATGATCTTTGACCTTAATGATATTTGGCTTCTGTCAGTCCCCAGACCACCATGTAACAAGGTGGTTATCAACTACACATTTACATTTATGGCCTTCTGACCTTTATTTAGTATCACCGTGACCTTGTGCTATGCGGAACCAGAAATATCCCTTTGAAGGACAGCTTTACTCATTTTCTAATTTACTTGTAAATTCTGGGAAACAACAGAATATCAGTCTAAGAAATTACTTACATCTAACTTAATCTTATCATTAAAACATCACATATGATACTGAGGGTGGAGAATTAAGAAAGAGGGACAGAAAACCAGAGGCCACTTTATGAGACTGCACCTCACTGAATCTATGAGAGTCACAGTTCAGTCAATCTAGTACCTTTCTTGCAATTCCCAGAACAACTGCGCTGAGGTCTCTCAATGAAAGCCATCATCACAAGAATTTTACACTAAAAAATACACACTCACACTCAAACAAAAACTCTTATACAATCAGTTAGCTATCACAGTGGCCAAGACTACACAAAGGAAGCCATTGGGTTTGTCAGATCCCTTCAGCATGACAAAACAGCCCACACAAAAGAGGTGTCCGGAAGACATTCTCACTTTGGCCATCCCTACAGAGCTTGCATTCAGTTCAGGGATGCCCTGGTTTGTCTTATCACCACGTTCCCAAATCCCATAATCCTGCAACGACAACATCAGAAAGAAAAAATTGTCATGATTATTACAAAACCAGTGTTTCCCCCCTCACCCCACAGTAAAACCAGATCCTTTTTTGTTTTCTTTAAGACAAATAAACAGAAGAAAAGAAAAAGGCTCCAAGTCTCCAAAGAGCTCCTCCTAATGTTGAGCAAGGAGCACATAAAAAAATACCCCAGCAGGACCAAGTCTACAGTCATGAATCACTGTCTTTATAGAACACAAAAAGCCCTTTATCCTTCCCCCTCTGCGGGCTTCTCCCTGCGCCCTTTCAACTCCCCAATTTCCAAGAAGTTTGTTAACACTTTGCTCTTTTTAAAAAGGCATGTAAGTTTTTAAGGAGACATCATGAAATATAACTAATTGTCTATACAGAAACACCAATATTATAGGTAGAACGAGTACACCTCATCCAGGCAACAGTAAATTTTCCACAGCCCTTCCACCACCTACAAAAATGATGCTCGTAGTGTAAAGTACTGACAGGTTCTGGTACCTTCTCATGGAAAAAGTCCATACTTTCCTTCTCCATCAATAAATAACTTTCCACCCACATCTCATTTACATAAAACTAACTACTTACAGCAACTTTGTAGGCAGCTTCTATGTAAAACACAAGATTCTGAATAAAGGTAACTTCATCAAGGGTGAAGATAATACGTAAGCCTGATTAAAAGAAGGGAAGAGAGTAACTATACAGTATCAGAACTGACATATCTACTCTTCATAGAGTTTCATGCCTTTGTTTATTTGCTTCCAACTACTGCTCACTGAAAGTAACAGAATTTGTGCTTATTTCAGAAAATCAGGCAGCCTCAATACTTGCTGCCCACAACAGACTTCAAATGCCACCAATACATACTGTTTCAAAGACCAATGAAAACCACCCCAGGGAGGGTGGCATCCAGACAGTGGGAATAAAGCAGAGACATCTGAGCCAGCTCTGGCTCTCAAGAGCAGGGCACCCCAATTCCTACAGGTCCCTTCTGCCCACGTAGTGCTCTACTACGGGATCACCAGGATGACCATAAGCCTGCTCTGCAAGGGTCAATTGCAAGGGGCTCCAAGGACAGAAGAACACATAAGGGAACAAAGAGTACAGCTGAGCAGAGCACAAGCCAAAACAGCGCCAGGAAGAAGAGGAACACAGGCAGCACTAGTGGCACCTAACTCGATGTTGCCACTCTGAAGAAAGCTCGTTGTCCAACAGGATGCCCTACATAGTCTTCAAACATGAAACTCTTCTCTGATGTGTTCTGAATATCTCAGGTACCTGTATGCATGCAAACATTAATGGAATGGACACTGCCAGTTACTCTGAAATCCTAACTAAGCCACATCTCTTTTCCAGAGAAATATTACCCTCTTCAGAGTAATAATTATGTAAAGGTCTTTGAAGCCAGTTGTAACATTTTTTCTTTCTAAGTGAAAGCTAGAATAGTAAAAGACTGCAACAGTAGCCAAGGCTAAAGTATCATCTGCTTACCTGATGCAGTCATCTGTGCCAAAAAAAGCAGGTAAAGGGAAGTTGCATCCACTTGTAGATGTCCCCACTGGTCATCCCCAACTACTGTGGCACAAGTTGCAGAGTTATACTTGGCATGTAGGCAGTCCTTCGTACTCTGTGTGCATTTGAACTTCTCTACCTTATCCACCTAAAAAACACCACAAACCTCAAATCTGAAACAGTTGGAGAAAAAATTCTCTAAACCGTTTCAAAAGTAAAAACTTCTCTTTGGCGAGGAGAAAGTTCAAATCTTAAATTTCAAATCTTAAATTTTTGTTACCTCACTTCAATGTGCTCTGATTGACCACAGTGCTTGAACACAATTTTAACTTTAGGCTCCAGCTAAATCCACATCTCTTCAGAAAAGATTAAGATGAAATTACCTTGTTGAGTTCAGGTCATGTTACAGGTATGCATCTTGGTAAAAATGAGTTTGCAAAGGCAAAATTGCAATTTGTTACTAGCACAACCTCACAAAGGTACAAGTAAATCAAGAGTTTTGCTCGAGAGTTCAAAAAAGACACCCCATACCACTGTTTACACACATGCAAAAAACTCACTCTGCAGAGCAGACACAAGAACAGGGGCTTCGGATGAAATGCTTTGTAAATGCAACACGTGCCAGTTCAGCTCCTCCCTACGACATTACCTGTCTCATCATGCACTGCAGGAGTCCCCGCATCAGCTTCACGACGTTCTGCGGGAACAAAACAGACCAGTGACACCCTTGCAGGGCCAGCCTCATCAGCTGGTACAAGCAACTTTCAAAAGTGACAGGGTTCACACCCCTCAGTAACACCCTGCCAAAGGTTAAAAAAAAAAGAAAAAAAGAAAAAAAAGTGTATTTTCCTGAAATGCTTTACATGCTTTTTTTTTTTTTTTAAAATATACTGGTTGATTTTTATCCCCGCACCCCTATCTAGGAGAACAAATCTTTTCCCAAAGGCCCTCTCTAAACCACAGAGCAACTCTCTGTGGTCCTTCCACCCAGCCAAGGAAGTAAGAGGAAAGCTATGTCAAATAAGAATAAGAATGATGATGATTATGATTTTTACAGTGACAGATCCAGGGAACACTGACATGACTGAAAATCTTGCAGAGCTTCTTACCCTCTTTATACAATACAAGAGAAAGCAGATGTTTAATGTAAAGAAAGGGCCTTTAGTGTCTACAAAGGGAAGTGTTAAGACTTTGTCTTAAAAGAAGAAATTGATCCCATCTTTTCATCCCAAAACTATTATAGCCTCAAAATACGACCACACAAACTAAGTAAAAGTAAAAGTTGTCCTGTCACCACAGAACTCCCTGGCTTGAGCAGTATGTGTCAGCACATTTACCCAGTGCCTTCAAAACAACAGCAGGACACTGACCCTAACACTCCCTCGGTTCCCATTCAACCCATCTCTGCATTCTCACTTCCAATACCCACTTTCCCAGCTGCAGATGGTAGCAATTAACTGTGTGAGTTGTGTCCCCTTCCAACTCTCCAGCACAGGAGTCTCACCACTTTGGAGGTCGTTGCTTTGCCTGGTTTGACGAAACACGTCTATATACTGCGTACAACTTCCGTGAGATGACACAAATGCACATTTTCAAAGACTGCTACTTTAAATAGGATTCTTCTCGTTATGGGGAAGAATGGTCTAGCAGGTAACTTGCTGCACTAGGATCCAAGTGGCCTCACCTTGTTTTTCTGCTCCATAATACAACTCATAAAAGATCTCAAGGTTTAATCAGTCTTGCAAATCTGGGTATAAAATGTCTCAGAAGCCTAAAGTTCAACAATCAGCCAGCTGATGGAAGTTTGATTCCTATACATATATTTGTTTTGTTTATACTTTAGTTCTCCGTCTCAGTTCTCCAAATCCTGCTTGACAGAAGGCTGTTGGGAACACTGTACACCATGTACTGGGTGGCTACTGATGTGACAGGAGCAAGACACGTGCTCCAAGCTGGGAAAACCCTGCCAGATCCTACAGGGGGCAGCAATGCGAATGCACAGTTCAAAACCACAGCCCTATGAAAAAGACGAACAGCGTCACTGGTTTGCAGCAGACTGCGACATACCTGCTCAAGCTCATAGGCTTTGGCCTTGTCCTCATCCCGGTCCGCGTTCTTCCGGTAGGCCATGCCCAGCCCCCACACGGCCAGGACGCTGTACACGTTGTCCCGCACCCACGCGTCCTTGTGGTCCGTGCCGGCCGAGAGCAGCCCCGTCACTGGATTCTAACCACCACAGGAGGAACAAACAGCAAACATTGCCACCTGAAATCCCACCTTTCCATATCAAAGGGTAACAAAACAAAAGCAGGAGACAAAAATGATTTCACACCAATTGCACACTGCGGCTGCTCAGTTTTGCAACGGAAGTGAGGTCCCATCTTTCTTGCCCAAACTCACACAAATGAAAACTAAAATTTCTTTGAGCACTTCAGGACATAAAGCTAATGGCATCTAGCTGGGCATCCTCATCTGCACAGGATCATTAGGTAAGTCACCTAGTGGAACTTGAAATACACTGAGAAAATACCAATTTAAATGTTACGTATTTGTAAGGAAAAGAGGGTACTGAGTTAACATTAGAAACCGAGTCTCACCTTTATTCTTCTCTATGCAGCTGGTCTGTGGCATAATCTTGACAAAATAAAAACCCACTTATAGGAAATTTAAAAAGTGCATCTATTTATTTACCTGTTTTGTTTATGACAGCTAAGGCATGCATCCATGCAAAGCTTTTTTATATCCTTTGGAAAAAAATATAGAAAGACAAATGCTGATGGTGTTGAAAAGTAGCAGCGTCTGAAAAACAGCACACTGGGTAGTCTCTGGCATCCCAAATACTCCATTAAATTTTTCATTGCAGTATTAATTCCAACCACTTTATTATCATTAATTTTTAAGACCGTCTGTTTCAGCTGTATGTTCTTCACTACCAAAAAAATGAGGCAGAAAGGCAAAAGACCAATAGAGCTTTCAACCAAACCAAGTCTTCACAGAAAATTTTAGTGAATGAGGACCAGTTGACAGGGCTGATGTGACAAGGGGTAGAGATTATTATAATAAAGATAAGTAAAAAGAATACATACATCAGTTTTTCACTTCTGCCACACACTGGTTCACCAACTCCTTCCACAGTTTTTTTAAGTTTGCATGTGACAACTGAACATGACATAGGTGACAGCCTGACACACGCAGCTGGGCACGGCCAGTGCTATTGCTACAACTTAAATACAGCAACTTCTAGTGACTCTCTGAGAGCAGAAGTGTAGTTCTGATGAAACAGTCCCTCAGTGTGGTCTTCACAAACCAAATAAGCAACAGCAGGACCATCTACTCATCTGCTTGCTGAGAAAAGTAGCACATATGAACCAAAGAGCTTAAAAATCTTCTTTCTGAACTTGAAAAGTGAAACCAAGAAGCTAGAGAAGAAAAAGTGAGTAAGCAAAGAAAGGAGACTGCACTCCAGTTCAGCACTGTGCCCACATGACAAAAAACAGGATCTCAAAAGGCAGGCTGCATATTCCTCGTGTTTTTAGAGGGCACTCTGTCTCCCTTCCTCCCTCCCATGCAGGACAGTAGATGTCTATGTATCTACAGCCCTGGTTTGACAGATACCTCCATGCTGCCAGAGAAACAATCATTTTGGTTTGTTTTTCCCCACCCTCCATGCTGGGCTGTCTACCAGCTGCAAAATAAAAATTCCTCCAGGTACCAAGACAGAAAACCCAGAAAAATGGCCCATGCAAGCCTTTAAAAGGCCATTCAGTCACCAGGGAGGGACCTCCCTGCCTTCAGGTGGCTGCCTTAAACACTTCCAAGGGCAACTATCACCACTGCAGCAGCTTTGGCTCCTCTACAAGAAGGCTGCAGCTCTCGGGGTGCAGTCAGGCTGGCTCCTGTGCACTGACGACACATTAACGTCCTTCCTCACGCACATTCAGAATGTTAGCAGAAGAACACAATAAATTAATTAATACTTCAAGTGTTTGTTCAGGTTTTTTTAGAAAGTGTTTACTCCTGAAAAATACAATTAAATTTCTTCTGTTACCTGCTGATACCATATTAAAAGCACAATGCTGACAAGGGGCTAAAGAACCCAAGGGAACACTAAGTGTACCCAGCCCCAAACATGTCAAAGGGATGTTAGCCCAGCTAGTACTTCAAAGCATCACATCCATGCAGTGACTGCTAATTGACTAGCAGGTTTCATCCTGCAAATGACACTGCACATACAGGTCTAGAAAGCAAAGAATTTTACCAGCACGCATGGGCTCAATGAGCACCACAACAGAAAGGTGATTGCTGGAGTAAGACTTTAAAAATAGGATTGGACATGATACAACAGTTTAAAGCCTATTTGTTACTCTGGAAAAAACAAACAAACAAACAAAAACCCACACCAAACCCAAAACCACCACAATACCAATCCCTAATAAGAACTTCAGCAGTACAGACACAAAAACAGTGGCGTTCTAACCAGAGCAACAACACAAATAAGCCCATATTTAGCATCTTGCTGAAAACACATTTAATTTGCATCTGTTTCATTGATCTGTCAGATGAAAACTGATGTAAGCTCTAGCAAAGTTTGCAGATAAATTGCATTGGGGTTACCCATAAACATACGCTAGATGTGCTCTCCTTATCAACTCCACTGGCTTTTCTCTTAGAGTACTTCATCAACATTTAAAATGTATATAGATGATAAGTTTTGCTATTTTACAGACATATGTTAAGATTCACATTTTTTCTTATGTCATTCAAATTAACAAGTCTAATAAGTATCTCAGAACAGCTTCTGGTGATGCTCTTCAGCGCCTGCTAAGCTACAGTACAGGAACATCCCTCTGGCCCTGTCCCCAGGGGCACGTGCCATAGCTGGCAGTCCCCACACCGCAGCAGACTGGTGTAACCAATGCAAGTGCATGAGGCAGGAGCCACTAGTTTGCCTTAGCCTCCTCGTACAACCTTCAACAGGATCATACCTATCACCCTGCATGCTCCAGGGACTGAGCAGCAGAATGCAACACTTACAAAACAAAAAAAATGTTGCTATGTGTCCAATCCTGCCAGGGAAAGCCATCAGCCATGGTGAGGGGTGCAGAGCATGCTTTGAATGCACATTTGCGTGGTAGCACAGATATTTGGCACTAAAATTTGCCTCTAAAATGATGTTGATTTAGAGTGACTGGAATGAACCAAATAGCAGTTGCTGCTACTGAGAAACCTGACCCCTGGTGTACTACACACCTTCTTATCAAAGTAAAATGTTGCTGAGCACTCTGCGTGTTCTCCCCGTTGCAGCTGTACGAGAGCTGTTCCTGCCCTCTGCCAGAGCAATCCAGCTGAGGTGCCAGCCCAGCACCTCTGGCATGCCTGCGAGGTACAAGGCCACAGTCACACACTGCCCTGCAGCACGCAGCAGTACCTCACAGGCACCTTAAATGCCTCCTGGCTCTTCTGCCAGGCTGTCCCTGGGCAAACCAATGGCCTAAGCTCCCTTCACTGGCTCCATGCTGAAAGGCACCAACAGTGAAGCAGCAGCCCACCCCACCACAGGTGTTCTCCTCCCAAGCAAGATGAGACTGCTTGTGGCCCAGGGACAACTGTCTTAACTTGCCCAAGCAAGCACTGCATCTCCTCAGCCAGATGAGCAGGACATTTTCAATCTATTGCAGTGAAACCAACATAAAGAGTATAGATCACAGAATCATAGAATGCTTTGGGTTGGAAGGGACCTCTTAAAGGTCATGTAGTCCAACCCCCCCCTGCAGTAAGCAGGGACATCCCCAAGTAGACCAGGTTGCTAGATATAGAAAAGATATAGATAGATACAGATTTAGATCAAGGCCAAGATACAGATACAGATTTTCTATAGATGTAGAAAACAAATCTAGAAACCTGTCTTGCAGCATCTCTCTGGGCCCTCTTGTGACAGTGTTGTCCCCCTGCCTTGCTGCTAGCCTGGGACTTGCTTTCCACACACAGAATAAAACTTATTTATTTCCTTCCCCCACCTCCAAACTCTACACAGCACTGAGCACTTAGTGGAAAAGGAAGCCTGAGTCATGAAAATGCATCCATGGCACTTGTAAAGAGCAATTACAAAATTCTGGGTCACTGGTATAAACTCCTATACTGCCATTAAGTTACCCTTTTTATTCTTGTTAAACATTACTACCATTAAGGCACAGCTTTCCAAGAGCATGTTTAATGTCTGTATCTCAGAGGCTCCATTTCTCCTCTAATGGAGGCTGTTAGCTGCATTCTCATCCTATAAACATCGAAATCAAGGTAGGCATTGGAAGCCAAACTGTTGTCCATAATGCAGACAGGACAACTCAAAACGATCTCCTGTACCTCAGCACAGTGAGAGAGCAAAATTATCCACTTGTGCCACTCATACCATGTTCTTGCAATTGTTTCTAACGAGTGTGCAATAATTAGTACACAAAAAACAATTCACAGGTGTCTGGACTTTGTGCCCAGTCACAGCCAGTGACAAAAATATTACTGACCTAAGTGGATTTGGGTCCTAACCTCTTCTTTCACTGCTTTTGAGTTTCTTGTAACTCTAAGCAACTAAGTATATTTGGGAACTGATCTGTGGGGGGAAAAAAAAAAAAAAAAACAAAAAAACACCATCCTCTCTCTCTCGTCCTCATGTTCTGGACTGTTTTAACTGAAGCAGAACACTTCAAGTCCTCAATTGAAGCCCACCCAGGTGAAGTGAGGCATTATGTAGTGAGCTATACACATATCCGCTGGCCAAAAAGCACAGAACAGGGCACAGCTTTTCACTACCGGCCCTGACATCTTCCTTCTTTTACCTCCCAGAGATGCAGGCAGCCCTGCCCGACGAGCCCGGGCAGACACAACTGAGGGGCACAGCGCTGCACAGGCCGCCCCAGCCGGCAGCATCTGCTGACCGGGGACGGGGTCCCTCGGACGTGCCCCACCACACACACTCACCGCTCACGCCACGCTCGCTGTGAGAACCCCGCTCCAGGGCGTGTGTCAAAGGTCCTGCGAGGGAGACCCCTGTGACTGTGACTTAATAGTGTTACAGGCACATACATAACATCACAGAACCGTTAAGGCTGGAAAAGGCTTCCAAGATTGAGTCCAACCACCAGCAACACTGCCATCACCACTAAACCATGTCCTGAAATTCAACATCTGCGTGTCTTTTGAACACCTCCAGGTATGGCAACTCCACC